CCCCACATTTAAATATTGTTCGGCCTCGAGCAATCAAACTACACTTATAGACACGACCTTTTTAAGCAATTCTCCTAACTAATCACACCAAGAATCTTTAAAATAGACTAAGCACAAGGGTATAATATCTTCACCTTAAGATTTGACTCACAAGTACCACCCATTATTCATAACTCACCCACTTACTCTAACATAGACGTCACTGACATTACCTTTCTTCATGAATCACGTGCCCTCACTCAACAAAAGAGAGTAGTTCCACACACAATAGAATTTAAGAACAATTAGGAACTCAAGATAGAAAGAATTCACTCACTCTCAGAAATAACATTCATATGCTACAAAAGATGTACCATAGTCTTGCCCTAGTGTACTACTCTACTAATCGAGCTCATTCAATCTAGGATCAAGTAGGACTTTAATTGATTGTAATATAGGTTGCGGGTCGGGTAGGATATATTTGGATATAAGAGTCACTGCACCTCCCTAAGCACTTTAATACTTATACCTTAACATTCAAACCCCACACTTATGAAAAACCATGACTCCACCTTCACATCAATATACATCAACTCCCAAATTATTTAAGCACAATTACATCAAGAGTTACCACTTGTCAATGAATATTTGCACACAATACAACTCTTTTTTTCCTTTTTCAATTCAAGTGGCTCTTGCTCTTTCAAATCAGTGTACATTTCTCTTTATTTCATTAGTTCCACTCAAAAGTTGAACCAACCACCCCACACTTTAACTTTTACAAAGTTCATAACAATTCAAGTGCTCATGAGATGTGAAAAGGTTCAAATAGATGGTCAATTCAAAAAAAGGGGTAAGGTTTGTAATGTGATTATCAAAAAAATAAGATTACAAGCTCAAAGGGGTTAATTATGATACATAACAATTAGGTGGGTAAAATATACATATGGCTCAACAAAAAATAGTATATATCACTTTCAAGACTGCACAAAACTACTATTTTGTTTTGCAAATACACGGAGCAAGTTCTAGACATCAAATGCAATGCATAGAATACAACAAACCTCACACGCACATGGCACATGACTCACTCAAGACTAGATTATCAAGACATTCTAGTCAAAGCAGTTGAGTAAAGTTAAGAATATACAATTTAAGGTACTTATACAAGAGTCAGAAACTGAGCCTAAGCGTCACAACCAAAGTACTCACTATTCTCAAGGCATAACAAAGTCAAGAGATATTGGTTCAATTCAATTCATCTTACACTAGCTCCTACTCCCAAAAAATAAAATTAACTACACCCAATTCAAATAAACTCTTGGAAAATAATCACGGCACAAAGAAAAACTAAGGAGGAATTACTACACTACCTACCAAGAATTTTTGTTAAGACTTAAATCCCTCAAGAAAATTGTCTAATAGATCCATCGTCGGGCAAAGTCCAATCATTTTAAAAAATAAAGCATTATTCAATTAAACTAACACAACTAAAGTACCATACTAAGTCACCCATACAATCTCCTCACCTCACACTTAAAATTGTGTATTGTCCCCAATGCACACCATACTAATAAGAGGGTGGAAGAAACTCCCTGGTAGGCCAAAGGCTGAAGCACTAGCAGCTCATAGGATACTCAGACTTCTCCCAGGCTTGGTCCTTCGTGCGGGTACCTCACACTTAGTTCCAACCATCTCGTTTGTCATTGCATCCTTCCAATAGCTTTTCTTTCCATGCTCCTAGAAAATAAAAAATTGACAATACAAAAATAATACAATTAAAAAAATAAAATAAAAATAAAAAGCGGTAAAGTTGGATTGCCTCCCAACAAGCGCTTGATTTAATGTCGCTGCACGACGCGAATCACTTTCTGCCTCCACTTTGAACTTATGAATTGGACCCTAAGTTTTGATTATGCTCTATGATCATGCTCCTGGGGTGGTGGAACGAATCTGACTAGACCAATAAAATAATGAAGTATTCTGCATTTCTTGGCCTTTAGATGAGATATGTGTCACACCTCATTTTTCCGCACCCGCGGGGGCGCAAGGGAGTTTTTTTTANATTTTTGTATTTTTGTTTGATAATGTCTAGATGCAAAATGGACAGACCTACAAACGACTAATAATACATGTCACGAAAAAGGAAAAAAATTGTACAGCGAAGCCATTTGTTACTATTTTTCTTTTGTTTTCCCTTGGGAGTGATTGCTCGTGAAGCAAAAATCACGTGCTTACAATATGTATTCCCGACTTTCTGGCAAGAAGAATTTCAGAATGTAGGCATCTTGTTCCTCATCTCTTAACTCCTCAAGTGGCTCGGATGGCTCTATTTCTGTATCATCATCAAAACACAATGTGGAAAAATACTTGGAGTGTGGACCAATGCGCTCAACTACATAAACATTGGGATTGTCAACATCGTCAACACTAATGACTAGAGTCAACTAAATACGTATCATCAATGTCCTTGGTCGACTCTAGTATCTCTTCTACAATATCGGCATCCTCAAAATCTAGTTCGATTGATTATTGGTATTCTACTCTAGCCTTCTCCACTAGCACCTCCTCGTATTATTTTAAAGCCTCCAATATAATGGCAATTTCTACAGCCAATTCATGCTCTTCTTGGTTACTATCCACAATGTAAGCTTGGTGCGCTTTACAAGGTTCAATTAGTTTATTCGCTTGAGCTTCCAAGTAGTGAGTAGTTGCCTCTTGCCTTTGTATCTGTCGTGGTTTCTCATCGTATTGTTCCACGTGGCACTTTAACATATCTTTGATCTCCTTTAGGTCAGCTTCCCTAGGTTCTTTGTTGCTGTTATCCTCACAAGAAAAAGTAGAACCATCATAATAAGGGGTTGGGGGAGGATAAGACAAATAATCACAACTATAAAAGTGACTATCTTGACCACCACACATATCACACACATTTCACACATAAGATTGAGTTTGTGCACATAACTCGTTCTCGGGAATATTTTGACAATTTTGCAATGGGTGGTTTCCTCCGTAATATGCATAAGGAGGATCAAAAGTAGAATTACCAAAATCAAAACTCTCATAATTTCAAGATGTCATGTTCTCAAATCAACAAGTAAAACAAAAAAAAATTTAAAAAATCAAATATAAAAATAAAATAAAAGTTCAAACTTGAAACCTAGCAATATGTACACCTACAACTATACCGTTAATTCCCCGATAATGGCGCCAAAATTTGATCACGCCCAACTATGTCTTATAAAAAGGCTAAGTGGTCGTTGCAAATATAATCCGGTTTACAAGTCCGGAATCGAATTCCACAGAAAACTAAGGCTTAGTTACAGTTGTTCAATGTTGCTAAGAAATACAAGTGCAAACAATTTACTAATTATAAAGATTATAATATTTATTTCTAACTAATTAACTAACAAATACTAGAAAGCAGTAAAACTATCAATTTACAAGGATAAGGGTTGGAGACAAGATTACAGAGGTCTAGAGTTATGATTTTCCCTATTGTCGGAATCTTTTCCGCTACGTTATCTATAAATTTGCATAAGTCTTCTCTACTGATTATGAGCACTCTGACTGTTGTAACTCTCTCCCGAGTAATTACGACAATTTACTAGACATATTCTCTCGAATTATACTAGTTGGCATTATGTACGGCTCACTCTGATGACATCAAGGTTTCGTTATCCCTAATCCCACCTTTAAACCTTTCATATTGATCACTCATATACGTTAGGAGTGATGTTGTTCAATAACTACCTAAATATGCACTCTCTCCCGAGTAATACATACTAAATAGGCATAATTGATTGAGAGTTCTTCAACCAACCACAATAATAATGTAGTTGAACAAATAGAGAAAATACTATAGCAAATCTATATTAACGTAACAGAAAAATCATCCTCCAATAGGTTCCATCAAAACTCTAGATAACAAATTAGATATTCATAATAGTATGCATAATTACAATACTAGAATTCATAACCAATAAAAGAAATAGGAAGAAGGAAGTGAAAAACTCGTAGAAGAATTCTACGTCTTGCTCCTAGTGTGTTCTTGCCTCCTTAGGTCGAATCTCCTCTCTAATGTCGGTCTCTCTGTCCGATCTCTCGTCTCCTCCTCAAAAGTGGCGTTTTTAGGTCTATTTATATGTGTAGGGAAAGACCTAAACGTGTAGGTCAAGTCATAGTCAAACCAGGAGACGAAATAAATCTTCAAAACTCGGACTGGATCTCGCCCCAAGCGTGACGTCGCCAGCTTCAAGCCTGGCCTTTGCCTGGCCACGCCAGCCTAACACCAGCTTTCTCGAGCACACTTTCAACGTTTAAATATCTCTTTTACTCTACTTTCATCTTCAATTCACATACACACAAAATAGACTCCATTACGCGCAAATAAAATGTAATTTATTTTAAAGCATATAAAATGCAAGGCAAATAATGTACGAAACTATAAAATTATAGTCACACATCAAAATCTTTATACAAATAACCATACACATCCATTGTTTAATTTTTCTAGCCAGTATATATACATTGGTTATAGAGAGTTATACATGTATTATACATAAATTATACTCCCTCCGTTTCATATTAAATGAGGTACTTTCCTTTTTAGTTTGTTCCAAAATAAATGACACATTTCTAAATTTAGAAATAATTCAACTTTAAACTCTTTCATTTATACATGTATCCTTAATGAGAAGTTTTTATAGCCACACAAATGTCATGGCCTCACAAACTTTTTATCCCTTAAGCTTTTAAGACCACAAGTTTCAAAAGTCTTCTTCTTTTTTCTTAAATTCGTGCCGAGTCAAACTACCTCATATAATATGAAACGAAGTGAGTATTTATATTGCACATTCGCTGACTAATTTTAGTTTAGGCGGATGACTTAGACGACTATTTAAGTTAATTCTAAGATGTTTTAAGTGAATCTTTTGCCAAAATTGACATTTTCAGAATTTCAATCATGAGCTGTAAGCCTTTAACTAACCGCATAATGTTTCCAAATTTTGAACTGTATACCACAGCCTTAGTTGTCAACTCACTCTTTTATCATCTTGCTCCTCTTCATATGATCATTTCATATAATACTTCTTTTTATTTCCACATTTTTCTTCCTTTCTTTTTTCTGTTACGTTCCTCGACAAAAAACACCGTCTTTTCCTTCTTTATTTTGTCTTCTTATTCCTCTATCTCATAACACACACACACACAAGAGAAGCAAGCCGATAAAAAGAAGAAAATCGCATTATAATCAGTGTAAAAACACTACTAATTTGCAGGACAGAGGTGGTGATTTCAAGAATCAGAAGTAAGAATAATGGACGGTGAAGATAGGCCGAGGACAATGTGGAGAAACTTGAAAGAACGGTTGGGATTCACTGGGCTAGCCTGCTGTGGGTCCACTTGGAACCTGAGAATATCGGACATGACGATAAGAGAAGAAGAAGAAGCAGAGGAGGCCCAAATACAGGCCCAATTATTTGGTGAAGAAGAGCCCATGATCGTGGCCCATCAAGGGAGCGTGAACCTTGCTACAGCTCTGGCGGCAGAGCGTCGATTCCGGAGCGTGGGTGCCACGGCGAAACTGAAGACGTTGATGAGGTTGTTTGAGGAAACAGACGGAGGAGATGAGAAGAGGAGTCTTAAGTTGTCCAGTAAAGAAGGAGGTGGAGTTGATGAGATGTGCTGCGTGTGCATGGAGAGGAATAAAGGCGCGGCGTTTATTCCCTGCGGACATACCTACTGTAGGGTTTGCTCCAGAGAGGTGTGGTTGAACAGAGGCTTGTGTCCGCTTTGTAACCGTTCCATTAATGAGATTCTCAATATTTTCTGAGATTTGTCTCTCATTGTTTGTCATTTTACTTCAATTTCTATAGGTTTTCATTTTCATCATTTTGATTTTGATTTTCTTCTTGGTTGATTCAAAGAGGAGTTATGTCTTCACTCCTTTTCATTGTTTAGGAATTTTTGTGTAGGAAAATTCTTACCGGAAACAAGTGAAGTGAAGAAATGAAAAGAATTTAACAGCAAGTTGTTAAAAAAAAAGTGCTTCTTGCATTTAATTAATCTTGCATTCAATATCCAAAAGAGGACTTTATATTTTGGCAGCTTGATTTGTAACGATTCGATCAATCGTTTTGCTTGATAGATCCCCATTCCCTATTTAACACTTCTCGTATGCGCTTTTACTGTTTTATAACTTGTAGGGATGGTTGGTTTGGTTTTAGAAGAATTCTGGTCGAATTTGAAGCACTTAGTTCCATAATAGTGGCATAAGGCAGCCAAGTTTGTGTTAGAAAAATAATTTGATAACTCAAAAAGAAATATTTTAAATCATGTCTAGATTCATTCTTTTAATGAGGTCTTTATTATATTAATATTTTGAATATATTTCTTTAATGTTTGTAACTTATAACTATCAAGTTTGATTTCAGTTTCTACAAATTAAAACTGACCATTAAATAGCTATTATGGGATTCTTTATATTAGTTTTGAAAAAGTCAAATTTTTATATAGCCATAGATTTGGACATTATATATTTATGTGTTTTCATTTTCTAAGTAGAGTGAAAAAGGTTAAAAACTTTTCTTCCCTTTTCTTTGGTGCTGGGTTTTCTTCCCATAAACCTTATTGTTTCTGCTCCTAGTTATACTAGAAGAGTTTGTTGAATCCTGGGGGATACGCCTAATATTATTCATCTCGGTGTGCGCGAAATATCCTTAAGGACAGTGTCTTTGACACGCCTCAAGCTAAATCTTTTATTCTCCATAATCATCCAATTTTTTCAACAATCTTAAAGATATTTCCACATTTTTTTATGGAGAATAGAATTTGATGTTGTCCAAGTTATTGTTTTAATTCTGAAAATGGAACCTACACTTCAAGTTTGCACAATGGTCTTATGGAGAATACCACGCTTTATTGAAATTATTTTTGTGAGCAACGAAATGTTAATCAAGTTGCTATTTCAATTTTGTGCATTATCGCATTATGGAGGGTAAATTGCACCACAAAATTAAGGTACGCTTTTTATAGTATTTAAATGCGTCTAAGCCTACAAAAATGTAGACTTTTATTGTTATCTATTTTTTAAAATCTTGAAATCTCTAAGATAGTGGGTTTAAATTTATTCTTCAATTTCAATAAATTCGAGTTTTGAATTTGGTGTTACAAATAAAAGCACGATTGATTTCCATACCCAAGTCGTATAAGTTCTTTGTTAATTCTATGAGAATAAAAGAGTGAATAATTTACTATACATGATAATCATTCGATGTCAAAAAGAATTTGAAAGATCTTTTTTATGAAAGGAAAGATGATGATTAATGTGTTAATTTTATAAAACTCCTCCGTATTAGTATGATAGAAATAATAGATAAGATAAGATCTCTGTGTTCTTGTGACTTATTTGGTGAAGCTATATCATTAGCTTGTTATTTATAAAATGGTGGAACTCTTTATGAGTTGTGAAAATATTATCTATTTAACTTGAAATTTTCGAAAATGTGGGGGACCATGGTGTCCTGAGTTATCTAGCTTGATCCTAAGAAGAGAAAAAAATAGAAAAACTGTTTATTAAAATTATAACATTGAAGCCTTACAAAAATGAGATTTTTGTGGAAAAAATTTATATTGGAAGATCAAAAGTATGTTGTATTTTTGGCTCTGAAAAGTTATTTCATTACGGATTTCTTAGTCATTTGGGTGATGAAGAAATCATTGAATTATGATCGGCTTTCTATTGATTTGAGATATTTCTGTAGAAATTAAAGTTGCTTCTGTATTTAGAGAAAATTTTCTTTGGTACTTGACTACGGAAGATACAAAAAGAAACTAAATTCTTATGTGTTGAAAGATGTTTCAAAAGGCACTTGTACAGAAGTTAAGTTTTTCATTTGAGATGACTTTATGCTTTATTTGAGAAATACTATAAGTTAGTATTTTGTATGTGAATTTTCCACTGTATTAGAAAGATACAATGACGATATTGAATCTCTGACTCAGATGAGAGAAAACTAGCTAGATGTTGTGTGATCACCTTTGGTGGGTGTTATGTTATTAAAATTGTGTGGCAGTGAAGCTGATTAAGCAACCTATTGGCGTGTATTCCACTAGGAATTAAACCGACAATATTTGTGTCGATGAATTGGGATTGCCAAGGTGCAATAGCCATTGTAAGAAAATAAATCTTTCAATGGGAAAAGTAGACACATTTTTTTAAGATATAATGTTATAAAGCAGTTGCTTAGAGATGAGAATATTTTATACATATTATGTGTAGTCAAAAGAGGATGTGACCGATCCTTTGACTTATAAGTGAAATATCTAGGGGTTGAGACTTTTGCCAATTTGAGATGTATCAACAATGATGGTAACCCAACTTATGTGATTGGAGATCCCATGAAGTAGGTTCATATGGGTAATAACAAGTCATTAGTTGATCAATTGTGCACTATTAAATTATGTCTCTTCCTATGGTGTGTGTATATAGTGCAAGACTGCAAGGAATATGAGGCAGAGTTATTAAACTCTTAATCCAATAATCCATAGCCTTTTATAGGTGGTGTATTGCGCTGCAGAATATGCTTGATGGATGGACCAATATGAGTGTGGAGTAGGGCCGCTCTTATGAAATTTATGGCAAAAAGTTTCTAGAGCACTCATGAAAACCAAGCGAGCGCATGGCCTATTAGCGCAAAATCGCGATAAACAGCAAAGTGTGTGCGGGTGTAATGTGATAGATAAGACACTAAACTTACAAAAGAATTCTTGGTTTATAAAAGTTTTGAACTTCACCAATTGTTCTGAAAGTTTAATCTTATTTTATCTAGGTCTGGTTCATAGTCCAAGAGACACCAGATTCGATGCATTATGCTCATTTGTGAAAACCCAGTGAAACCTTTTATTTTACTTTAATGCTTATATTCTTTTTGAGTTATGTGAGGGATTGTTAGAAAAATAATTTGATAACTTAAAAGGAAATATTCAAAATCATGTCTAGATTCATTCTATTAATAGGGTCTTTATTACATTAAATATTTTGAATATATTTTGTTAATGTTTGTAACTGATTACTATCAAGTTTGATTTCAGTTTCTACAAATTAAAACTAACCATTAAATAGCTATTATGAGATTCTTTATATTAGTTTTGAAAAAGTCAAATTTTTATATAGCCATAATGGATGATGGTAACGTTTTTTTTTCATTATTTGGACGTTACCATCAGATTTGGACATTACCATCAGATAGTCCATTTGTTTTCGACTATATATATTTATGTGTTTTCATCTTCTAAGTAGAGTAAAAAAGCTTAAAAACTTTTCTTCCCTATTCTTTAGTACTGGGTTTTCTTCCCATAAACCTTTGTTATTTCTGCTCCTAGTTATACTAGAAGAGCTTGTTGAATCCTGGGAGATACGCCTAATATTATTTATCTTGTTGTGGGCGAAATATCCTTAAGGAGAGTGTATTTGACACGCCTCAAGCTAAACTTTTTATTCTCCATAATCATCCAATTTTTCCAACAATATTAAGGATATTTCCACATTTTTTATGGAAAATAGAATTTGATATTGTCCAAGTTATTATTCTAATTCTGAAAATTGAACCTACACTTCAAGTTAGCACAATGGTCTTATGGAGAATACCACTCTTTATTGAAATTATTTTTGTGAGCAACGAAATGTTAATCAAGTTGCTATTTCAATTTTGTGCATTATCGCATTATGGAGGGTAAATTGCACCACAAAATTAAGGTCCGCTTTTTATAGTATTTAAATGCGTCTAAGCCTACAAAAATGTAGACTTTTATTGTTATCTATTTTTTAAAATCTTGAAAGCACTAAGATAGTGGGTTTAAATTTATTCTTTAATTTCAATAAATTCGAGTTTTGAATTTGGTATTACAAATAAAATCACGATTGATTTCTATACCCAAGTCGTATAAGTTCTTTGTTAATTCTATGAGAATAAAAGAGTGAATAATTTACTATACATGATAATCATTCATGTAAAAAAGAATTCGATAGATCTTTTTTATGAAAGGGAAGATGATGATTAATGTGTTAATTTTATAAAACTCCTCCGTATTAGCATGATAGAAATAATAGATAAAATAAGATCTCCGCGTTCTTGTGACTTATTTGGTGAAGCTATATCATTAGTTTGTTATTTATAAAATGGTGGAACTCTTTATGAGTTGTGAAAATATTATCTCCTTAAATTATAATTTTCGAAAATGTGGGAGATCATGGTGTCCTGAGTTATATAGCTTGATCCTTAGACGAGAAAAAAAATTAGAAAAACTGTTTATTAAAATTATAACATTGAAGCCTTACAAAAATGAGATTTTTTGTGGAAAAATATTATATTGGAAGATCAAAAGTATGTTGTATTTTTGGCTCTGAAAAGTTATTGCATTACGGATTTCTTAGTCATTTGGGTGATGAAGAAATCATTGAATTATGATCCGCTTTCTAGTGATTTGAGATATTTCTGTAGAAATTAAAGTTGATTCTGTATTTAAAAAAATTTCTTTGGTACTTGACTACGGAAGATACAAAAAGAAACTAAATTCTTTTGTGTTGAAAGATGTTTCAAAAGGCACTTGTACAGAAGTTAAGTTTTATTTCATTTGAGATGACTTTATGCTTTATTTGAGAAATACTATAAGTTAGTATTTTATATGTGAATTTTCCACTGTATTAGAAAGATGCAATGATGATATTGAATCTCTGATTCAGATGAGAAAAAACTAGCTAGTTGTTGTGCGATCACCTTTGGTGGGTGTTATGTTATTAAAATTGCCTGGTAGTGAAGCTAATTAAGCAACCTATTGGCGTGTATTCTACTAGGAATTAAACCGACAATATTTGTCGATGAATTGGGATTGCCAAGGTGCAATAGCCATTGTAAGAAAATAAATCTTTCAATGGGAAAAGCAGACACATTTTTTTAAGATATAATGTCATAAAGTAATTGCTTAGAGATGAGAATTTTTTATACATATTATATTTAGTCAAAA